GTACAAGGCAGTCACAGGCGATGTCTGCCAGGTGAACGTGGCGATAGCTGCAGATGCGAAGGCCGGTTCCTCGGACGAAAAAATCCACGACGACGTCGAGAGGCTGAGATGGCCGATGACGTGAAACGCGAGAGAACGAGAAGATGGATTGGAACTGCCCTGCCCGGCAAAAGCTCTGGGGAGCTTGCAAAGAAACCCTCTCCCTTGGCTTCAGAGGGGCCCATCCCACTACAGCCCTGTCCTCTAACTTAACTTCAAAATGCCAACTCACCTGCTCATCTCTGCTCCTTGCCGTGCTCGGGGCAACGCCGAATCCTGCAAAGACAGAAAAGAAAAAAGCACTGAGTTACTGTCACAATGCACAAGGTGGAATTCCCAATGTGGTTCCTTTATTCCATCTTGGACTACAAAAGCTTGTCAGCCAACCAGGGACTGAAACAGAAGAAAAACCACTCAGCCCCACCTCTCATACTCAAAGATCCCCTGTAAAGTTCTGAAGACAGAGCCCTCAAACGAGTGTGGGGTGCTTTGCCCTGAGGCATGTGCTGTTTTTAAAAAATTCGTGTCACCTCCCTTGCTTTCTAGACACTGCTCACCGGCGTGGCAGGCTAGGGGCGGCTGAGGCGAAACGTCTTTCCCCTGATAATGACTGCACAATAAACCTGCAACCCCTTCTGTCTCTCAGAATCCTGTCCGTGACACCGATTCGTGTCAGGATCCACAAGGTGGGATTTGTGATGTGGTTCTTTCCTTCTATCTTAGAGAACTAAAGATTAGCAGCAAACCAGGGACTTCAAACAGAAAAACCTCTCAGTCCCACTTCTCATACTCAAAGATCCCCTGTAAAGTTCTGAAGACAGAGCCCTCAAATGAGTGTGGGGTGCTTTGCCCTGAGGCATGTGCTGTTTTTAAGAAATTCGAGTCACCTCCCTTGCTTTCTAGACACTGCTCACCAGCGTGGCAGGCTAGGGGCGGCTGAGGCGAAACATCTTTCCCCTGATAATGACTGCACGATAAACCTGCAACCCCTTCTGTCTCTCAGAATCCTGTCCGTGACACCAATGTGTGTCAGGATCCACAAGGTGGGATTTGTGATGTGGTTCTTTCATTCTATCTTCAAGAACTAAAGACTAGCAGCAAACCAGGGACTTAAACACCAAAACACACACAGAGCTTGCACCCACCTGTCCTCCAGCATCCTGGGCGGGGATATCTTGCAAGTAGACCACCTAAAATAAAAAAAACCAAGGGATTGGAGTTGCACCAGAAACTGCGACCCCAGCAAGAACAACTGCTTCTCTCCACCAACCGAGGCTCACCTCCCACCTGCTTCGCCTTCCCCGCTGCTTTCCAGCTTTACTTCCTAGAAATAAATACAAAGAGAAGAGCTGTAACACAGTGACCGGTTCCAGCCCCGCTGCAAAGTAAAACCGTGACCGACCTTCTCAGGGGGACCCCCTCATCTGGGACAGCGCTCTGCCATGAGGTCAATCTGTCTGCATCTGAAAGAAAGTTAGGAAAAAAGTCAAAGTGCTGCAGGGTAACTTCACAGCTCCAGACACCTGCTGCCAACATAAGAATACCAGCTAGACTCCAACTACAGCCCGTATTACAAATCTCCAATTACAAGTGCCCGGGACTTGTCCTTAAACACCTACAACCAGGCTGGGCGCCAGGGCAGAGCAGCTCCGGACCAAATACCCCCAGACACCCGTGACACGTGAGACGAGGGGACGTGACAGGGAGAGAAAACTCTCTGAGACAAGAAAGTCCTCACAAGGACCGAGAGAATGCTGAACGAGATGACCGAGGAGGGACCCCAGGCGAGCCTGCCGGGCTCGGATGGCCCTGGAGGAAAAAGATGCTAATGGAACAACTATTTTCCAAGAACCGCAGAGACAGATGCCTGAGAATCCTGTGGCTGGAAGCCTCTGCCTGCCTTTGAATCGGCACAAGTCCTTATCCACTGTAAAGAAACACTGCTGCATATAGCTGTTGACACAGCTGAGAACGAGACCTAAGAAAACATCCGATCGCATGCTTCTAAAGACAGATGCGATTCTGACGCCTGTCCGACCTCCCGCATCGAAGCTTCGCCGGCGCCGGGCCGAGGAACGCAAAGATGGGAGATGAACGGAAGGACCTGGGGTTTCTCATAAGCTCCTGGGAGGGCTAAGGCAAGAGACATGTTACACGAGATGCACAGAAGACAAAGAAGGCATGAGAGACAAGTGACAACACACCCTGGGACTGCTCTGCCCTGTTCGCCTCAGCATTGCAAACCAAAGTGAGGCTTTCCCTCACTGGGGCCTATGGGGTCATTTCCAGAACCTCCCCATCCCCAAAGCTCACTCAAAAACCCAAACCGATCCGAGTCCCGACCCACCGCCCTGCTTTGATCCCCTCTGCGGGCTCCACTTATCTCTCAGAGGGCTGAAGATGTGAGTCACAGCGAGAGGCCGGTCGGGAGCCAAACAAAGCCACCTCGCTGTCTGGGAAGTTCTTCTCTCACCAGGCTGTTGTCTCAGACAAGTATCATCACCTATGATAAAGAAAACCAAATATAAGTGCACAATCTTAGTGGCATATTCACCAAAACCCGACTCCTACTCACCGTCTCTTAGGAACTCCCGGGTCCTCCGGCCACGCTCCTAGGCGGATGCCGTCGTCGCAGGGTACGCCTAGGATAAATGGAGAGGAGGTGATGTAACGTCACTGAAAGTTGAGTGCGCCCTCGCCTCTCCTTCCAACTCCCCCGACTTGCCGTGACTCCTCGGCCACGCCTAAAGGGTACCAGGACCGCACCGACACGTGGACGAGGTCGAGGCTTCGTCATGGACTCCGGTAATATTTGCTGGGGCTCACCAGAGGAGCAAACCGGGTCTCTTGGCAGGTCAGTGAGGGGGCCTCAGCACAGCATCAGGAGGCAGCCTAAAACACACCAACAAGCAGGGATGCTTGGAGTTGCACCAGAAACTGAGACCCCAGCAAAAACAACTGCTTCTCTCCACCAACCGAGGCTCACCTTCCACCTGCTTCACCTTCCCCGCTGCTTTCCAGCTTTACTTCCTAGAACTAAATACAAAGAGAAGAGCTGTAACACAGTGACTGGTTCCAGCCCCGCTGCAAAGTAAAACCGTGACCGACCTTCTCAGGGGGACCCCCTCATCTGGGATGCAGCGCTCTGCCACGAGGTCAATCCGTCTGCATCTGAAAGAAAGTTAGGAAAAAAGTCAAAGTGCTGCAGGGTAACTTCACAGCTCCAGACACCTGCTGCCAACATAAGAATACCAGCTAGACTCCAACTACAGCCCGTATTACAAATCTCCAATTACAAGTGCCCGGGACTTGTCCTTAAACACCTACAACCAGGCTGGGCGCCAGGGCAGAGCAGCTCCGGACCAAATACCCCCAGACACCCGTGAGACAAGGGGACGTGACAGGGAGAGAAAACTCTCTGAGACAAGAAAGTCCTCACGAGGACCGAGAGAATGCTGAACGAGATGACCGAGGAGGGACCCCAGGCGAGCCTGCCGGGCTCGGATGACCCTGGAGGAAAAAGATGCTAACGGAACAACTATTTTCCAAGAACCGCAGAGACGGATGCCCGAGAATCCTGTGGCTGGAAGCCTCTGCCTGCCTTTGAATCGGCACAAGTCCTTACCCCCTGTAAAGAAGCACTGCTGCATATAGCTGTTGACACAGCTGAGAACGAGACCTAAGAAAACATCCGATCGCATGCTTCTAAAGACAGATGCGATTCTGACGCCTGTCCGAACTCCCGCATAGAAGCTTCGCCGGTGCCGGGCCGAGGAACGCAAAGATGGGAGATGAACGGAAGGACCTGGGGTTTCTTATAAGCTCCTGGGAGGGCTAAGACAAGAGATATGTTACATGAGATGTACAGAAGATACAGAAAGCACAAGAGACAAGTGACAACACACCCTGGGACTGCTCTGCCCTGCCCGCCTCAGCATTGTTAGCTAAAGTGAGCCTTTCCCGCACTGTGGCCCCAGAGGCCATTTCTCAAACCTTCCCCCCCGCATAGCTGACTCAAAACCCCTAACCGGTGTGAATCCTACCCCACCGCCCTGTTTTTATCCCCTCTGTGACCACAGCCCTCGTCTTATCTCTCTGAAGAGAATCTGTGCGAGGGGACGATCCGCTGCTAAGGAAAGCTGCCGCGGGGGCGGTTCCCTTTTGTGTTACGATGAATCTGCTGAGAGAATCTGAAGTATCGCACTTGATGTGACCTAGAACTTCTGGAAATTCTCCTAAAAAAAAAAAAAAGCCAAGAAGAAGAGTCATTTTAAAAGCATCTTATTGCCCCTGGACCCCCAACACAAAACCATGAACTTAAATACTCCCTGTATTCAATATTGTTTTCTTTGAGGTGTTTTCAAAACTTCTGCTGCTTCAAATGCCCAAAAAGATGCCTGCTCTTAGCAGGCTGAAGCAAATTGAAAGAGCCTCTTCACTGAAATGAGAGAGGAACCCTAAACCCTCTTTACCCCTGCTGATTCCCCTGGAAGGAATAATGCCCCTTAGCACAGCCTGGGGTTAATATACCCCTAATTGGGCCCTCCTCTTTTTCCCACGATGCCTGGGAAAGGGGAGGCGGCAAATCCCACCGGGTATAAAGGCCCTCAGAGGGACCGTAGCTGTTTGGCTCCTCTGAGTTAAATTTGAGGTAAGGAGCTCTGCGTAGAAGAAAACTCTTTGGGAAAAAACAATGTTTTCTTTTCTGCTACAATTACTCAGGACAATGGAGCAAAGGAACAAAAAAAAGGTAAGAAGAAAAACTTTGTGTTTCAGCAGTGTTGCCAGCTAAGTTGGATAATTTATGGACTTCCATAATTATTTTTCAGTGATTACTAAGTAGCACTCCACTTGTGATTAATTAGGGTGGAGAAGAATAGTATTGATTTGAATGGTGTCTCATAGGGACCTTTAATCAGGGCTGTCTACATTCTAAATGAAAATAAGAAAAAGAATGGACTCCCAGGTGGCATTACCATTACATACCTGCTGGCCTCGCTCCCATTGGAGATATTTGGTGCCAGGGTGTGGGTAGAAGTGCCCTGAAATGCAGCTTTAAACCCTTGAAATGCTGGAAAAGGCAACGCTTAAAATGAGCAAACGGGACAGCTAACTCCATTTAAACAAATACAGTGGTAAATAAATGGCTTCTCCTCTTTAATTTAAACCCCTCAGATATTGGGGAAAAGAGTGGTTTTCCTCACTTTAAATCTCTCTGGTGATGGAAAAGGGGGCATTTTCCCCTTAATTCAGATCCATAAGGAAGCATCATCCATGCTTTCCTGTTCCACTTAAAGTGGGAAAAAAATAGAAAATGGGCAGTCTCTGTCAGTTGATACCTCTAACAGCACAGAAAAAGCACAGTTACCTCCAATTGAGA